ATTAAAATGGACAAACCATCCAATTACGTTGTGTGTATTGAACGTACCTTATACGCAAATGGTCGCGCGATTACGCTGGGAGATTCACGGACATTATTGTGCTTAATTCTTTCCCGCCATCGCGTCCACTGTTCCCTGAGCTATGTTAGGGTGGTATTTGTAACAGTGGACCCGATGACGGAAGAGAACTGGGAGAAGGCAAAAACCAGTCTCGCGAACGTCTCGCTCTCAACGAGATCTCAGCGGCCATTTGCATACAAGATAAATTGGCATTGTCAAGTTTGATTTAATAACACTCCTTCAATGGGAATTCCCCAAGGAACGCTAGATAGTGTAGCCAAAGGTACAAAAAATAAATACGAAATGCAAACCTTTCAGTATTTTAACGTCTTTGAAAACAATAGACAAATCCAAAATGCATTCAGTACAGACAGAGAGGATTTCTTACAAACCACGGCACCGCTTGAGGACCTTTACGAATAATACCAATGATTTATAGGATGTTTGGATGCTAGCAGTGTGATATGCGAAGAAGTTCTCGCGCAAATTGTGAAAACAAATCAAAAAATGACAAGGCGAATCTCAATTTCTAGAAATCCTTATGTAAATTAGTGAGTCGGTGAAAGAACCGGTTAATGTTCATCTAAGACCATTTTGATAGCGTTTGTTATTATTATATTTACTTTTTGTGTTTGAATGTGACAAATTTGAACTCTTTCAAGCGCCCACTGCGTTCTGTGTTGTCATTGGTTAGAAAATGCGCATTATGCGCAAGGAACGGGATGCCTCTCGAACGCTCACAAGCGCGAGAGTTTCCTTCTCGCGAGATCTTCATTGCATATTACATACATATAATACTTGCATATTTTTATTTTATAAATTGTTGATGTATTATAAAAGGTATTTAATGCAGCAGATATTTAATGCTTTCGCAATTGATAGCATACTCTTGTATGCCTTAATCTTTCTGTAAAACATTCAATCAACGGGAAATTCAGTTGTCGTTAATGTAATAACTCACACCGATACACATTTTTTTTCTTATTCTGGAAATGTTTTCTGCACGTCTATAGCTTAACAGCAGGGGAGAGTGATGCTTTATGGATTGGTCTCAGTCAGAATTTGTTGCCAACGTCCCCGACAGATGAACTGACTTGGTTTGATGGAACAACGTACGACTTTACACAGATGCAAAATGGTGCTGATCTGAGTGGTGTCAAATGCGTTCTCGACACGGCCACCCCCGGCGAGTGGCAGCCTGTGGAATGCAACGAACTGCACGGTTTTATTTGCGAAAAATCGCCGACATGTAAGTACAGCGCCCTCAGACTACAGTAAATATAAATCTACTGAAAAGCGCCCCCATGGGATATTATATTCACGTTCTTAGTCGATTTCATTAGTTAATAACATTTACTGGATTTGATACTTATAGAAAGGCAATTATGCCATTTTATATAGTTGAATTTGATAATTGTTTTATTCTATTATACCCCGCAGCTGAGACGGTATGCCCTGGCGACAATATGCTGAGGCTAGGAGACACGTGTTATACGATTGCCGAAGGTCCAATTACGTCTCCCCGTGCGACTTTGAAATGCCTAGAGGGCGGTGCAGAGCCTGTGTTGATACACAATGAGTATATTCAATATCTATTGCATTGGTACGTGACTAACAATGGTTTTCAGACGGAGAGTTTCTGGATCGGTAAGTTTAATTAGTACGCACGAACCATCAATGATGGCATCAACTCGCCTCGCCTCGCCAAAATAGCCCCAATTATTTTTTTTTATTGAAATCTGATCTTAAGGTTTCATTAATATAATTGCATATTTTGTCTGTATACTCAATGCATGCAGGGCATGCATTACCAGATTTGTTTAAAAAGTTTTAAAATTTAATGAATTTTACACCGATTATTGAGATAAAAATTCACAAACTCGCTACTATAACAATTTAATTTTGCTGAAAATCTGGCAGAAAAGAATGCAATAGTTTTAACAACAATTTAATATAAATTTATTTCTTATAGTTTCATGCACCGCAAATTGATTGATTTTATTGACCAATACATCAAATATGACTGAATATTTTTTTCCCGCGCATCAGTGAATTATCTAGTGAATTATCCCTATCTTAGTCCGAATGTTGTTGTGCAGTTTCTGATAGGTGATATCTTTCTTGTGCGCAGGTTTATCAGATGCGGAAAACGAGGGTAACCATATTTGGTACGACAACAGCGCCCTCGTTTATCAAAACTGGGCTGAGGGTCAGCCTGACAATGCAGGAAACGATGATTGTGTGAAGCTCGACTGGGAATGGGACTTTGCTTGGAGTGACGCAAGATGCTCAGAAACATACAACTATATATGCGAATTTGGTGAGTTTTAATTGTCTTTACGTTGTCTTAACCTTTGCACCGCCAGTTCTCTCTTTTCATCACAAATTAACAAAATAGTCCCGTTTATAGACTGGTTCAGAAGACTGGGACCAAAACAGCCAAATTTGATGACTAAAAACTGAAAATTTATTCAGATTTTGTATGTTGGCCCCCAAATTAGATTGTATTTCCAGAAATATTTAAGAATATAAGAAAAAAGTGGAGACAAATTTGGGCGAGAACGTGTGGTGGTGAACAGTTTAAAAAGAGTTTTGCTCAGACCACAGACTTACTATGGTTAACGTATGGCGTGTCGGTTTTGTTCATCATGAAGTGTTCAACTCTAGAACGTCCTTTCTAGGTCGTATTTGACACACTGTGATGTAGTGCACTTATCTTTTGTCTCGATCACGTGACCTTACTAAAAATAGACCTGACGTAATGAGAGATTGCTGTACAGTTCATTAAGTGGATCATCTCAAGATAACAGAAGCACGGCAGCGTTATTTTTCTGTGATTTGTTGTGAAGTGTATTTCCTTAACAAAGCTGTTGAACATATTGCACTACAGTATTTTTTAAATACGACAGTTGCTTTTTTAGATTTTGTTTCATGAATAATTCATCACTTGACGTAATGCTTAGTGACGTCATATTATGAAACATACGCTGTTGTGTACACACAATGTTACACAGTGTGTTACTGTAAAATACTTTATTTTTTAGCTGGAATTTATATTCGCTGAAAAGGCATTTTGGGTGTTTTGTATGGAATTTATTTTCACTGACTTTTGACGCGTTGAATGTAAAATATGAGGAAAAAGGCATATTCACTGGATTTTATTTTTACTGAATCATTTCTTAAGCGAGAATAGCGAAAATAAAGTATTTTACAGTATACAGAAACAACACACGAGTACGACGATGGTATTTGTGGTCTTTCTGGTGAAACGCTATTCCCCTTATAACTATAGGATGTCACGTGCTTTAGACAGAGTCGGCGTTCCTCTCATGTAAAACCAATAATCTTGCTAATGTTGGTGGGCATTCTAGCCAGTGCACAGTGTACAAGGCTTCAAGTCTCAAACCCCATAATCTCAGACGGTTCATCCCTTATATTCTTATACCATTTCAGCATCAACGCCGTGTGAGCACTCAAGTGACTGTCCAGAACTCGCAGAATGTTCCCTGGGTCAATGCAAATGTCAGAGTGGCTACACAGGAAATGGATTGGACTCATGTACAGGTAATTTGCATATTATGTAAATGAGTTGATATAAGTCATTCATTCACATTCTTCCTAAATTCACTTAAAATTATAGTCTGCAAGAAATGAAATGTCGTCTGTTTGATTTAATTTTAAATCGCAGTTTGTTTGATTTCACTAAAACATTGAGTCTGCTTAAATTGACTTGAAATTCAGTTGCAGTCCACTGGATTTCAGTTAAAATT